GATTTTTGATCATCTCCAAATCATCGCGCGGAAGTTTTGACAACCCGAATTATCGGAACGACTTTTAGGAACCAAAGTTCCCCTCAAGTCTCCAAGTATACAAAAGAACCAAGATTCACCTCGTTATAGCTTATTCAAACCCAGCGCTGTGATCTTCCAGAAACAGTGTTTTGAGTCATGTTATGGTTCATTCAGTGGCGACCACTATTCAGAAGAAGAACCAGCGTTTTTGAAGAAACAAAGAGAGGAAAGCAGCCATGAACTGTTGGATGAACGTTTTTGGTCACCTGAAAGAGGTGATAGAAGAGATAGAGAGTAAAAGCGTGTTGGAAAGGAGGCATTTATACCAATCTCAATCCTTCTAGCTTGTGGAACCATTGGCCAAATACTATCTGATAACCGTTGGAAGTTTCTGTATTGGTTTCAAAGAGGGAAACTGGCTTTTGAAGTGGAAGGTCGAACCGCAAGGCCTCATGCCACCACTCCGCAATTCAATTCCCTCATCTTGGTTTTGGTGTCCTTCAGCTTTCTTCCTATTCTTATGAAGCCTCTTGCAGAGATGCAACCATAGTCTGCGTTTTTCGAGATGCGCAATAACGGCTCGGAGTACCATTTACATATGTCGAGCTATAAGCTTGTTTGTTTCAGACATGGAGGTATCATTGCCTCTGCCGATTTCAGTGAAGCTTGAACTCAATCAACGCTCATAGTTTAACAAATGAGCGCTCTCAAAGGAACATGTGAACGTTATGCTGTATTTTTGGGAGAACAAAACACTTCCATTTAACTAGAGCGGTAAGTTTTGAGAAGAAAGGAGCACACCGACCACGCGCAATCATGAGATGGTTTTGGCTTTGTTTTCAGTATTTCATCTTTGTCAATCGGAGATATAGGGAGAGAGTCATCGTGAGTGAGATATTGATATAGACCTCACTACCACTAGTTCCTGACCCGAATGTCTGGGCGTGGTCTCGCAGTCGTGGTTGGTTTTGGTAGCGACTTATCAAAGCAAGAATTCGATTTCGGCCCGGGTATGAGTTGCAAGGTCATCATGTCTCCAGGGTGAGGAGGTTTGAAGCCCGGGAAGCGATAAATTCATTGCGCTCTCTGCGTTGTGGTTCCAGGAGATGTAGTCATAGGGTACCAGGGAATAGTATGTGAAATTGTCGCCACAAGTTCATGTAGTAACAGATTTCTCGCGGCAAGGATTGTACATGTCTTCCAAAGCTTTTGCTTCATGGTACATATACATCGCTTTCTCAGACGGAGACATAACGTCAATAGCCACAATGTTTTGAAAGCCGAGTCGCAGTCTGAATAACTTCGGCGACGGGAGAACATCTCATGCGCATATGGCTTGTAATTTTGGAAAACGAAGCCGAAACACAGCGTCCATGGTACGTTGCGCTTCTTGTTTTTTTGGATTCGATATCTTCGAGTGTGGTTAAAGAAAAGAGAGGTGGCAATCCGTGGAAGAGCTTTATATAGCTGTTACGAGGGCTATGATACGGATGCATGTTGTTGGTTAGGTCCTAGTGAACATCTCCAAGCTGCAGCGTGGCGCCTCTTCTCATCGTTTATGTAAGATATATATTTTGGTGGATCAATCTTAATGAGATCCACGCGTCATGTCGCAGGCGCGCCTCGCTGAGAATATAGACATGGCGGGTTTTGGGTACTTTCGTCCTTGCTAACTCTTGATCTTTCCGTGTGCAATGTACCAAAATCACATATCCTTTCGCAGTCAGGTTCTTCTTCGGGAAGTCGACCTCAGTTTAATCGTTATGCTACGCACTTTTTGTAATTCAGATAAGTATATCTCGTTAGACATGAAGCTATTTATCACTTCAAGTCTGTCATCGCTACAGTTGCTTCTAAGAGAGCCTTTGGCCTGATGATTAAACTTGCCAAAAAGGAGGCTTACGGTCTACCCATTCTATGCGGCTTAAAATCGGCACGCGGCCGCTTATGTTGCCGTGCAGAGTGGAGTTGTAGCCTTCTCCATGTCAGCAAAGATCGACGATACTGTATCCCGAACGTGGCATCCCGGCGAAGCTTCTCTAAGACGATGGGCGGGAGATCGTGCACGAAGTGGAATGACTCGCAGCTGTCAGAGTACCTGGGTAGGGCTCGGGTACGCTAGTCGACGCTTACTCTCTGCGGGGGTGGACCCTGCTTGTTTGGTATCCAATCACGTTATGCGCGTCAAACGACAGCAACTCTGGCGAGTACGACAAATAGTGGGCAATTTCTGAATTGAGACTGTCGCCTTGTTATATGCTATTACCACACACCTCCGGACCAGGCCCGCGCTATCGCACTTCCTCCATTACACAATACAACAAATGGCTCTCATCACGTCTCTACCATAATCCCCAATTAGCCGTCCATCCACCTAAGCCGCTGCCGACTCGAGCTGACGATGATCTACTGCTTGTAGCAAGGAGTGCGGAACTGAGCATTCCAGCCACTGACAGTCTTGTACTTTCCACCAGCGTTGCAGGCGGTGCCGGCCTCAAGAGGGTTGTTCGGGTTGGTCGCACCGTCGGCACGGTGAGCGTTGGTGCACCAGCGCTGGCAGTCGAGGTTGCCAATCTTAGCATCCTAGACGAGAAGATTCAAATCAGCATTCAACATTCTATTCATCCTGTTGTGTTCCTGGAGAATTACTCACCGAGTAGACGCAGCAGTGCGAGTCATCTTGGAAGAGGCACTGGCACCACTGGGCAGCCTGGGTGGTGATGGCGCTGGCCATCAGCAGAGTGGCGAGGGAGAGGATGCGGACCATTTTAGCGGTTGTGGGGAGTCTCGAAGAGGTGGTAGAAGATTGAAGAGTGGGATGGATTGAGGTTGAGAGTCTTAGTGCTGTACAGAGAGATGGATATCAAGCCAGAGGGGGTGTTGCTCTGATATTTAATATACTGAGGGCAGAGAAAGGCTAACCAAAACTTGCTTAAGCTCGTATCTCTTGATGAAGGAGCCATTTCAGATGTTAAGCCGAGTAGTGCTTACATCGCTCTAGATAGTAAAGTCAAGTTAGCCCGGCCCCGTATCATCTCTCTAGACCACCTGATGTTTACGTGTGTCTATGCGTTCTGAGGTATCTCCTAGTTCGCAGTCGTGACATACTATGGCTACCGGCAAGAGAACTGCGTGGACGGAACTAGCGCGTGTCGATCACAAGGATTAGAAAACAAGTCAACACAGGCCACCGTAGGGATCATAGCGAATGGGAGAGACTGCGCTTCCTTTTCGGTCTTCATTTCAGATATCACGAGCTCACTGACCAAGTGCTCCACCGACAATGCTTGTGTCGGCAAGCATAGTAGATCCTGTTTGGCAAGTTCTTCCCTATTCGGTCAGCTGCTCGGTCTAATAATCTATGCGCTGTTCTGAGCTACTCGGGATTAGCTTGAAGGGTATGGTATGAAGACACACGTGAGAATGTGTTTCGTATGATCATTACAGCGACTCAAGTCCGTGTGGGCTTTTGCGTCCCATCGCTAGTGGTATTGGCACTGCGACTTATTTCTTACTCAGCTGACCACAAGAATTCATATGTGACAAGATGAACATGAGCTTACCTTCCATATAAAGCTGCAGTGATTCTCTCTAAACGTAGCATACCGACTCAGCATCTTCAGTACCCACAAGTCTTACAACCCTCCCAATCCCACTCATTTACTCATCATACTCGAACGCCGGCAAAATGGTCCGACTTTCCGTCTTCGCGGTTATCTTCGCCGCCGTCACTGCTGTCGCCGCCGACGGATACTGCCAATGCCTCTTCGCGGATGGATCCCACTGCTGCGTTACTGTAAGCCAATGATAGCCTGAGCAAACTCAAATAAGATATACAAGCGACCAAATCTAACAACAAACTAGCAATACGGCATCGTCAAGGACTGCACGGCGCGATGCATCGACAACGGAAACTCAGACAAGAAGTGTAACGCTGGTGGCAAGTACTCGAACGTTGGCGGATGGCACGCACAATGGCGCCGCTCCTGCACGGACTGGACCATTGGAAACGCATAAAGTAAAAGAGCTCGTCAGGGTGACTTGCGCAGTGCCACCCAAGCAATTGTTTCTTTGGATACATGGCAACCAATGTTCCTTCTCCTGGTTCCCCTCAGTACTTGAGATCATAGGACCTCGCTGGAAAGCTCGCATGTATATAGGTCACATTTCCTTGAAGTCTTAGATACATGACTTAGAGGTATGACAGTCAATGAAACCACCTTATATACCTTACTCGTCAACTCGCACTCGCACTCGCAATCAGTGACTGAATGTCATGGAATCAAGCATAGAATGTCGATCTGACAAGCGAGATAAGCATTGTGCTTCTGCTAGCAGCAATCCCGCGAACTTGATTACAGGGATTCACTGTGACCCAGCGCGTCCAACGTACCGAAGCCGTACGTAGGGGATCTTGCATTAGTGTGTACCGTATCAGTAGGGGGTGGAGGTCTGGAAGTTAGAGTAAAGCATACGGCCTGTGGTTATCAGTGTCACCCGTCAACGACGTTATCTAGGATACCTATCCTCGCCACCACGATGCAGCTCCCCAAGCGCCTCTAGTTGCTTCGGTTCACGAAGAAGATTAGCGGTTGCCTAAGTAGGCAATAACACGGTCCGTACTTAGTCTGAGCGGCCGTACTGCGGTTATAGTCCGTACTCAAGGATCTTTTGGGTACTGCCGTACGTATAACACTAACAATCGGTCCGTACGTACCTCATGATAGCCTCATTTGAGCCGTACCACGGTACGTTGGACGCGCTGATGTGAGCTATGCACGTCCTCCCGTGAATTGCTTGCCGAATTCCCGCTGATATGTCTACAACTCGTGTTGTGTGGTCTCTTAGTCTGCTGGGCTCTATAAAGATCTTGATTTCTCTTGCAGCTCTACAAATCTTTCACTCATCAACTCCATCACATCACTCATCACATAATCTCGCAGCTTGATCCCATTACATCGTCCTCATCAACGCACAAAATGGTCCGCCTTCTCACTATCGTCACCGTGCTCTTTGCTGGCGTAAGCAGCGTTGCTGCTTCATACTGCCAGTGCCTCTATACAGACGGCAGTCACTGCTGCGTTATTGTAAGTCGTCATGTATCACTTCACTCAAGCTTGGCTTGCTCACAACTGTGATGTTTCTAGGACAATTTAGTCAATGATTGCACGAGGATGTGCACTAAGGCGTCTAAGGACTCTACGACTGCCAACCAGTGCAACGCCGGCGGGAAATGGTCCAAAGTCAGCTCGTGGAACGCCAACTTCCGCAAGAAGTGTGGACAACCATACATCTACTAGATTCTGTAATATAATCGCACCATCCGCAAAGCTCCTGCGAAGGCATTCTCTAAGTCCAATTCCATGGGAAGAAGCCGTGCAGTAGACCTTTCGAGATCATCAGCCGGGATGTCGATAATTGGTTCAATCAGGCGAAAGAACGCGATGTGATATTATGGAATAGCTTGTAGTTGGTTGGTTAAGCATCAGGGGCCTGTTGAGAGCACATCAATGGCCCGTCGCAGGCTTTGCGATTCATATCATTATCTTGTCTTTTAGAGGCTCTTTTGATAAGTAATGCTTGATGGGTTATAAGATTATGTACGCGGCCTTACGTTCTGTTAATACAGATCAACTTGTGAATAACACTGATGATGCCTTAAGCATGCGCGTCCGCAAAGTGCTCTGAGATGCACCAGCACTTCCAAGTGCCACATCATCCGCGCGCTTTACAGAGTGTCCATGATAATGTATTCGAATACGCTGGGATAAGACCATGAACGTATCGTTAATTGCTATTAGTAGTTAGCTCCCCATTAACGGACCGTCACGCCTGATTCAAGCGATATCATTTCCAAAGTCCAGCGATCCCTGTAAGTGATAACGCCGAATCGCTGAGGGGACGTTTTGGTAAGAGCTCACCGCCGTGAAGATTGTCGGAAGCAGGGACTATCTTAGGCGAGAAGCGGTCTTCGGAAATTACGATGCGCGACATTACGGGAATTCCCTCTAGCGCCTTGCGCAATACCCACCTGTCAGCCTTCACCACGTCGGAACGTGGGTGCGCAACCGAGAGACAGAATACTAAGAAGGTATAGCGTATCTGTTGCTTAGGATCTTTGATGTTCATTTGCGGCTCTGCTATGGAGGAGGTCGCAAGCGAGCACAGAGGCTTCGCGAAGAGTTTGGGAAATCTGTGAAAGTGAGATATTGCCTTGTGGTGAGCGACATGCCCAGCTAATATTTGTAGAGTCCCACGGTAACGACTTCTCAATGAGCTTCAATTCATCTGGCGTCCCCGGAAAGTCAACAACTCGTAGCAAGAGACGGAGAAGTAGTTGGCGTGCGCAGAGCACTGCGCTCGGACGGAAGTCGTTGTACTGTTGCATCCACGATCTCGGTGGTATTGACAAAACACAACACGCATCGCGCGCATCGAGAGACTCGGCATTCCTTCGATATACACAGTCTCCAGGGAAAGTGTTGTATGTAAGTCACTAGCAGGGCCTAGATAAACTAGCTATAGACGGAACAGATCTACGATCTAGTACCGGATTAGACAAGGTTATAGTCGAAGGAGCTTAGCTTCCATCTAAAGTCTGACTAAGATAAGCCTATAACGTGCACCACCAGTAAGCGGCCCACACCAGTAAGTGGCCCACCCCACCTGACCTGACGCGACGCTCTACGCAATTGCTCTACAACAACGCAATAATATCAGATATAATTAAGAGATATAGTTAA